TCCACCGTACTCCTCCATAAGAAGGCCACTTCTATACTAGAAACTGCGCAGCATAACCCCACGAAAAAAGTTCGGACCGAGAGTAAGGATCCTTTAACAGTTCCAATCTGAGGTCATAACAGGAGTAAGATGTTTGGACGAGAGTCTGCTCTGGGCAGAAAGCGAAAAAGGTTATCACAAAGCTGAGCAGAGTACACTCCCAGGAAGGTCTTCTGCCTACCTACAGGATACTCTCACTCTTTAGTACACTCAAGAAAATAAATTGAAATCGGTATTTACTAGGCCAAGGCCTGCCGTTGGAGCTAAGTTCTTATAACTTGAGCATATTCTGAATTTAGTGAAACGTACCAAGTTCAGGAGCTCGACTAAGTTTGAAGGGCATTGAAGCAATATTTGTGGTCTGAGGACTTCATTGGTTTGATTCATTTTGGCTAATTCAGTGACACACTAGAATAGTGTCTAGGATTCCTTACTTTACTCTGCTTCTTGTTCAGGTTATCTTTAGTGAGCCATTTTTTTCTAACTGCTGCTATGCTCTGTGGGGTATGCCGTTCTAACGGGGGAAATTCCGTTAAATCGGATGATTCGTGTCTCAATTGTACATGCTACCAAATAAAGGAGTAACGTTCCCAACGGAAGACACCGGAGGACAGAGAAATTGGTTCGAAGCATTTTCGGGAAACTCGGAAATGAAGAAGTCTTGCGCAGAGCTCTCAACGGAAGACACCGACGAGCAAAGAAATGGGCTCGAGGCATTTGAAGGAAAGTTGAAAATGAAGAAGCCTCGCGAAAAACCTCAGACGAACACCACCAAGATCCTGTGATCGTATTTATCAATGGGAGAGCCGTGGAAGAATAGCTTTTTTTACTTTTCACATAAATCTCTCACAGACAGTGAAGCAATGGAAGAAGGGTTGGAGCAGGGGTGAAGAGGAAAGGTGGAGAAAAAGAGGAGAGGTTGAGGTAAGAATGAGAATGAATGAGACTGTGTACTAATGAACCCTCTTCAGGAACCATAACGTGGGATTCTGCAAGAAGAAATCACCCTTGTTCCTGACATTTAATGGCCTATGATTTTGATATCTTGAAGGAAGTTGATATTGTACTCAAAGCCTTCTATGTAAGATCTGCAAGAATCCATTCAAAAATACTCATGCATACAATTCCCAGGAAACTTCCTACATTCATTTTTTAGGAAAACATGAGCGTGGGATCGATCAAACAATACTCAAATGTTCCATCCGTGGTTTGTGGACTGTTTTCTTTCGGGATGTTATTCGTAAAGTAGACTTGTCTCCATGATTGAAGTTGTGTTCGCATGGTGTCTCGTGGGATTCTGGCATTGCTGCAACCGGCTGACGTCAGATTTCACCGATGCCGTCATGAAAAACGCGATCTTTGTTGCTTTATCTGTTGTGGTTCATTTTGAATGATTGAGGAATCCGTAGAAAAAAGCTGAAAAAAGTCCTCCGCTCAAGTCCAGGAAGATATTGGCGATTTAACGAAAAGGACCGTGGAAAGGAGAATCTGAGAGAGAAATGAGCTCAATGGGGTGGTTCAATGGCAAATGATAGGCTTAGGGCTTATTGAAACAATGAAATCCTGCTAGATCTTCGGTATCTGTTCACAGTGGACAGGGCGGATAGGGAAGACGAAAGATCAATGGTATGTTCATTCTGAAAGGACTGGGGAAGGTAGGCACTTGATCCGAATTTATAAACGCTCCCGAAATTCGAACCGAGACCATTTACTGCTCAAGCCATACAACCCTTCCACTCCCCAAGGTCCTACTGCTAGGTGCAACCTTTCCTGCACCCTCCTCCTCTTGAGGCTTTGGAAATAATAATTTAGCCACCTCCTAAAACTCGTCTGGGCTCAGACAAGTGTCGTTACGCTTGTTTGTCCGTTGAAGGCCTAGGTGCACTACAAGAAGAAGTGAACCGTAAACATATCAAATGTTATAGCAATTCATCTTACTATCGAGTAAACGATTATTNGTGCAACCTTTCCTGCACCCTCCTCCTCTTGAGGCTTTGGAAATAATAATTTAGCCACCTCCTAAAACTCGTCTGTGCTCAGACAAGTGTCGTTACGCCCTTCTTTATTTACTTGTTTGTCCGTTGAAGGCCTAGGTGCACTACAAGAAGAAATGAACCGTAAACATATCAAATGTTATAGCAATTCATCTTACTATCGAGTAAACGATTATTTAGTTTCAGTAGTAAGGAGAAAAATATGTATACCATACTTCCTAACTGAAGCGTTCCATAGAAAGAAATAAATGGATCAGTTTAATAAATCTTAAAACTCATTTTGAGCACACATAAGTATTTATATGAACAGATGTCAAAGTCATGGCTTATCCCAAGAAATGCAGGGCGGAGTAGTTCAGCTTCTCCGCTTTGACAATGCGTCAATCTCTGTGACAACATAGAAAATGGAGATAGAAAACAACACCGCACATCATCTCGAATTCGGAAAAGGACTTGAAACAAATGGAGTTAGGTGCCTCGTGGGGAGCTGAACTCAGGTGCACCTGACAAGGCACTACAGGATTCACTGAATGGCTGCCAAAGAGCATATCATTCTTTTCGATTCTCAGGTGAACGCTCAGCCTGTGAATCGAAACCCTACGAAAAGACGTACCTTTTGGTATCGTCAGCGTATCTTTTGGTTGTCATTTCATCACTCCAATTGTGTCTCTGCTTGTTGTCTCTCTGTTTTTGTTTATCTTGAATCTGAAAGCACAGTAACTCAAACACCTCCATCTTACTTTTGACTTTATCTCTTAAGACGAGACACCCTTTTTAGACCTTTCATTGAGCCAAGTCTACCTGTGAAGGCAGCTCCAGGAAGGCAAAAGTGAACCACGAAGGAATGTTCATAGAAGAGTCTTCTAGTGTGGTTAGAGAAACCTCAGAAATTACGGGCGCAAGTCCATATCGTAATCCCACAGTTGCTCCGTACTACCTAATACGTCTTATTTCTAGAACAGTAGTATAAAACATTGGATGAACTGCTGTAAAAATCTGGTGCAGTGCCAAGTTTACGTTCTCGCGAGCGAAATCGCTGTGCCACGTGCGCCGGTCAAGGGTCCGCGACAATTCCCTCGAAAAGCTCCCACATCTGTCATCGATGACGATCCACGCGACACGAGGGGCAGCCTTAGCGGGATGCATCCCTCCTTTGCCTGGGCGGCTCCGTAGAGCATGCGTAATAGGGTGGCAAGGCTCGACGGCAGAGAGATGATTTCCGGTGAGGGCTTGTCGTGAGCCGCGACGCGTCCGCACGCCGCCGCCAACCCTCAGGGCCAATCAACCTTGTCGGACGTAGTTCGAATCCCACTCACACCATGCTCCGTTCAAGTCGGCTTCTATTCATACATATATATTCATTTATTTGTCTCTTTTATCCCAGATACTCCTCCCAAATGCCGTCCGTCCCGTTCCCACATTCCTATATCACTTTCATCCCCTCATTACTCATTCCACTCTATTCCTCCTTCACTTGCTCCGTTGACGTCTGTGTGGCAGCTTTTTAGCGATGACAAATGCCATATGTAACTTGGTATCCATACTAGTACAGTACAACACACCTTGCCGTAGGATACCGTACTCGCCCATACTGTACGCCACGCCCACTCACCATAAGCCGCCTGATTAGCCTCAACTAGATCAATTCTTTTGATATTCCAATTTGGAAAAACAGCAACAGCTGTTCACCTCTCGATTTGATTGTTGAATTAGCACCTATTCGAAGTGATATTTGGGCCAAATCAAAAAAATGATTGTCGTCCGACCTAGTCCTTTCCCCGGAAGGGCTAAAGATCCACCCAGTAGTCGATGGCTGAAAGTTTGTTCAAGTTGTTCCTAGTCAAAACCACTTGTCTTGCTGGTGTCGCATACTGTTTCTCATGTGCTTAAGTAAACATCGCCCGAGTAATGTCATCTGTGTGACAGCGTAGGTGAAGTGTGCGTGAGTGTGCAGAGGGCAGGCTGGTAAGAGATCGCGGCGTGTAGAGGTGTCAGAAAAAAGCGGAGAGGCTTGCAAATAGCGCCAAAGAGATCATCGCCAATGGTGAGACGACGGGCGTGGGAGATGTACTACTCGGGTGTCTATGTGTGGTGTGTGTATATGTATGTGTGTACATGGTAGAGCTGTATGGACAAATGAATCGATGTTGACTACGTGGGAGCTATTTCACACCCCCACACACGTAGAAAAAGTGTCTTCAAGTTGGATTAACTAGAAATGCAGTCATTGGAGCAGCTTGAGCTCATTGTGCTCTATGGGCCGCTAGGGGTTTCTCAAACTAGCTACTTTCCGGCAGTGGCGTAATGGTTTCATCACAGATTCCGTAGCTCCTGAAGTCGAGGCTATTCGATCAGTTCCTTGGCAAAGCACGGGGCGAATATAGATGATGTTTTGGGTGCCTGTTGTTTGTTCAGCATTCTTTGCTACGGCCGACGAATGCCTCCAATAGATGACTGCGTGGAGGCAGACGGGGGGAGCGCGCAGAGAGACGAGGTTAATGGGGATTTCTAATGGAAATCCCTTTGCTTCTTCGCCATTCAATATTGCCCCCATCGCTCTCCTCCAGCTGTGTCCATCCTCCTATGTGGGGGTGTAAGTCCTTCAGTCGTTTGTCTTCCATCTGTCTCATTGTGGCTCAGCATCTTCATACTCTTGATGAAGTGGGGAATGAATGTGGCGAAAGCACTCCTCCATCGCCTGCTCTTCACACCTACGACCAGCGTGTACACCGCGCGTGCTCCTCCCCCGGCACCTCGTTTTTCATGACCCTGCCGTGTCATTTTGGGCACTTTGATCGACGAGAGTCCACTCGTCCTACTCACTGCCCACTTGGCCGCTCGCTTCCTCATCTGATTCACTACTATTGTTGACAGAACGAGCTTATCCCTCCTATGCATCATTGATCGCCTCCACACGTGCATTATGGCCAGCGACGACGACGACGACGGCGACGACGACGCTTTTACTCTACGCGCTCTCTTTGTCACTTTCGACTCTCTCACTCTTCTCATACGACTGTCCTGCTGCGTCCGTTCGTTCATCCGCCGATGGCTCGGCGAGTTCATTTTGAAATGCCCGACGAGAAGCAGCAGCAGCAGCAGCACACTTTGCAGCTGACGAACAGCAGTCATTCACATAGCTGCCGGAAGTGCTGACACCCACGAGAAAGCGAGAAAAATGCAGAACATTAATGGACGGAGCCACAGCTGGCCTAAAACTCAGGGGGAATTGAAGAATCGTGGATGTCCTGTTAAGGATATTTCAAGTACTCGACTTTTAATCACAATCATAGGACAAACCCTATGAGGCAAGTGGAACCTTCTCAAAAAAATTTTGGAGAAAGGGATGGGAGCGGTCACATACAGTGTTTTTGGTGAATGAAATCCCTCGTTGATCTTATTCAGGAATCGACTGGGTAAATTGGGAACGGCAATTGGAGTTTCTGAGCACCAGATCCATCACTTTCTTTGCCTGACAGAGTCCACTGAAAATGGTTACTCAGCTAGAAGGTTTTTATGCTGGCCCTTTACTACCTTTATTTCGATACTTTGACTACATTTTTCTCGAGTTTACTCCCTACCGGTTGGTATTGTCAGGAATTCGTCCCCGATTAGCCCAGTTTTGAAAACGGGCAAATATAGAGTAGTGACTGCTCTACTTTTTTTTGAAAAGACGATTTAAGAAGGGCAACAAGCTATTAAGCAGACGCTTCGCGCTGACTAAGATTAGGGATGCTGCTCTTTAAGTCAGAGATCAGAGTTGAGAGTCATGCAATGCAAACTAGTCTGTG